GCGCGAGAAGTTCGAGGCGCTCAAGGTGGAGCGCGCGTCGAAGTTCACCGGCATCAACCTGTACGTCAAGAACCTGGACGACGAGGTGGACGACGAGCAGCTGCGCGAGGCGTTCGTGCCGTTTGGCAACATCACCTCCGCCAAGGTGATGGTGGACGACAAGGGCGCCTCGCGCGGCTTCGGCTTCGTCTGCTTCGCCGTGCAGGAGGAGGCCACCAAGGCTGTGGCCGAGATGAACGGCCACATCCTCGGCCAGAAGCCGCTGTACGTGGCGCTGGCGCAGCGCAAGGACGAGCGGAAGAACATGCTCGAGCAGCAGCACCAGTCGCGGCCTGGCGGCGGCCGCATGTCGGGCGGCGGCGGCGGGCCGATGTACGGCCAGATGCCGCCGCAGATGGCGATGTACGGCCAGATGCCGCCGCAGGGGCCGGCGGGCGCGCGCGGTTTCATGTACCCGCAGCAGATGATGATGCGGCCGATGGGGCCGGGCGGCGCGTACCAGCCGATGGGGCAGATGGCCAACTACAACTACGGCGCCATCGCCATGGGCGGCCGCGGCGGCGGCCGCGGCGGCATGCAGGGCGGCCCGGGCGGCCGCGGCGGCAAGCAGGGCCGCGGCGGCGGCGGCATGCAGCAGATGGGCCCGGGCCGCGGCGGCGGCATGATGGGCCCGGGCGGTCCGCAGGGCCGGATGGGCAAGGGCGGCGGCCCGCGCGGCCCCGGCCAGATGCCCCCCATGGGCATGCCCGGCCAGCCGATGCCGATGGGCCCGCCCGGCGGCCAGCAGGGGCCGCCGCAGGCGCCCGGCCAGCTGAACGCTGCGACCCTCGCGGCGGCGCCGCCGGAGCAGCAGAAGCAGCTGCTGGGCGAGCGGCTCTTCCCGCTCATCCAGGCGCAGGAGCCCGCCATGGCCGGCAAGATCACCGGCATGCTCCTCGAGATGGACAACGGCGAGCTGCTCAACCTGCTCGAGTCGCCCGACGCGCTCAACGCGAAGATCATGGAGGCCATCTCGGTGCTGCAGATGCACACGGATCAGGCGGCCAAGCAGGAGGGCGCCGACCCGCAGTGAGCGCCGCGGCGCGCCCGTCGTCCGCGCGACGGCGGCTGCCGTGGATCCGCGCGGCGCGCCCCTCGCCCCGACGTCTTTGGGGGGCGAGGCGCGGAACGCTCTTCTGCCGGGCCCACCGGGGGGTGTGTCTTTCGCGGCGCATGCCAGCTTCTCCCGGCCCCCCTCTCTTGACTGAGGCAGCGCGGGGGCCGCGCACGACCGGCGTCAGCGATAAAGGGGTTCTCGCTGCGCCCATGCCGGGCTGGAGACGAAGGTGTGCGTCGAGGTTCCGGAGAGAGGGGCGTTCCTGGCCGCGCCGCGGGGCGTCCATGGCACAATTTGAAGGTGCAAGATCGTGCGTGAGGATGCGATTTTTTGTCTTTTGCGCTCTGAGAGAAAAACAACTAGCAGCAAAAGGGCCCCGCGACGAAATGCGAGCAGCCTCGGGCTCGAGAGACAGAGAGGTGCGGCCCGCCCCCGGCGCCGGCGGCGCCGCCCCGCCCCGCCGCCCGGGGCGCGCGCGGGGGCCACGCGCCGCGCGGACGACCGGGGCAGCGCCCCGCCGCGGGCAGCGCACGCACACGCCGCCTCCGTCTGTTCGCCCGCTCCCACGAGCACGTACAGCCCGCCGCGAGGCCCTTACGCCAAGATCTCAGCTCCATCTCGCGCCCCAAGCTTTCCGTATGACCAGCTCGAGGTAGCCGGTCGTCTCGTCCACCTGACAGACAGAGCGGCGCGCCGTTCCGCACTATACGCGCGTACGCACTACCGCCGCCCCTCGCCTCCCGGCTGAACGTGAGCGCGGGCAACGCCGCCAGAATCACTTCCGCCGTCGTTGCCACCGTCGCCGCGCCCTTGATGTGCCCGCCGACGACCGAGCCGTCGGCGCGGGAGACCGCGGCGTGGAGGTGGAAGCCCTTGCCGCACTCAGAGATCGTGCCCACGAGAGAGACAATCTCGAGCGGCTCGCGCAGCTCGAGGAACTCGCATGCGCCGGCGAGCCGAAGCCGCAGCGCGGACAGCGAGCCCACACAAGTTGTTATCGACGCGGAGCTGAGACGCTGCCGCGCACAATAGCCTGCGAGCGCGTTCACCAGATCGTCGCCGCATCGCAGGCGCAGCGCGTGGTGCACCGCAGGCGAAGAGAGGACGCTGTTGGACCTAGACGCGGTGCGAGATCGGCGCAGCCAGCCCGAGGGCCGTGAGGACGCCCGAGTCGCGCAGGCGACGCCCGCGGATGCGATAACGATTGCGATCACGGCGCCAGGAGAGGAGAGGGCGACCATCACAAGGTGTGAGACCAGCTGGTGAGGCGGCACTGTCGGGTGTCTCTCTTCAGCGCTCCGCTTACACTTACCTGTGAAGTGTGAACAGCGGATTTTGAATCAGCGTTCTCCTTGAACGATATCGGTGTCGAAACACCGCTCTGACAGCGCTCACAGCTGCGTCCACAACGCGCAACACACGGTTCAGGGCTCCTACACATAGGGGGTGTGACCTGCCCTGTCGACCTTACGACGGGCGCGCTGCGGTCGCACGCCTCCCAAGTCATATGCCACGGCGTGCGACCTAGATCAGCACACGCGCTTCTGCTCGCATACACTCATACAATCAATGAACTGATGACACCAACCACCCATGTGCCATGAGTGCGTTAGGGCTAGCAGTAGGCCGCTAGCCTGTGAGGGAGCGTCCATAGACGCCTCACAAGACCACACACACGGTCTTGTCCGTGCCTTGCGGCCGGCGAGATTGCTAGAGGCGGAGCGGTCGCAGCTCTAGCCTAGCACGTTACTCCCTGTCGTCTGTTGTGCTGTTGTGCCCTTGTTTGTTCCCTTGGCACCGTGTGTGCTGGGGGGGGGGCGACAGGGATGACGTGGCCCTGAGTTATGTATACGCCGACTCAGGGTGTGTGGCAGCCAACTGGCTGTGTGTCTTGACTCTTGTGAGCCTGTTTGTGTCTGTGTGTGCGCTCGTGCGTGTCGTCATCATCTGTCCCGCGTCCACCCATACCGCGTTGGTGTCCAGTCCGAGCCTCTGGCTGTTCTTCACCTTCCTACCTAACCTAACATGACTCGCGCCAAAACGCCCTACCTTGAGCACTTGAGCACTTGATAGGGTCGATTCCGCATGGTACGGGCGCCCTACCTACCTACCTATCCCCAGGCCGCGCAGCGAAGCGAAAAAAGACGCAAATAGGGGGTACCTACCTGTTGTAGGGCCCTCTGGGGCAGTCAAAACCGGACCTACCTACCTATTGCATAACACCCTAGGTGGAGTGATAGGCTGAAATCCGCCGTTAATTTCTAGAGTCGCTGTCGCAACCCTAGAAATCAACGCCGGATTCCACCCTAGTCACTCCACCTAGGGTGTCTAAGGCCGCCATCTCTATTCCGTTCGAGTGGCCGCTCTGCATCGATCCGACGCACATCATCACGAGTGACGGATCACAGGTCATCTCTCCCTATGCAGTCGATGATGTGACGCGGGACACGCGTCTATCCGAGGGGAAAAGGACATTTCCGTCTTCGCATCTCGGCGTCTCCACCGCCGGGTCTGCTCTGTCGTGCTCTTCGAAGAGTGCGGCCAGTCTGACCACGAACCTGCCGTGACGCCGTGGTGCGACCCGAGCGCGACTGCCAGAGAGGTCGATCTCTTCAACGTCGCGGCGGGGGATCGGCTGCGTGTCTACATCGTAGTCGACTCACTCGCCGCCGTCCCTGAAAACGAGCCATTCTGTCCGATCGTTCCTCAACAACCTGTCCCACCGCCGCCTCCGTTTCTGCCGTGCGCCTGCGACCGCACACCAGCGCTGCCGATGCCAGCCTCGCCAGAAGCTCCGCCGCCAATGCCGCCACTGCCAAACATTCCCACTGCCGACGCGTTGCAACGAGCAAGAGCCCTCGTACGTGACGGCGCCGGAACCATACGACCCCGAGCGCCCGCCCACAACTTTCTCGCCCGTCGTATGATCGAGGCGAATCGTGCTGATCGAGAAGACAGCGTCAATCTTCCGAACGATCCACGCACATTCCGCAAGCTCGGCGAGCACCTGCGCGCCATCGAGCTGCAGCCCCTGCGAGTGTGCTACAACTGCGGCATGTGCAACTATCCAACTCGCAACGACACAGTGGTGGTGCCAGCGTCCGGGCCGCACGACTGTCGCGCGTGGCGAGTCTTCGAGCAGGCCATTCGTCGCCACGCAACGCAGCACTCCCTCGATCCAAACCTACCAGAAGAGATGCAGCAGGTCTTCATGTGCGAAGAGGTGACTGACCGAGATGGGCCACATCGCCGCGTCTATACGTGCAGCACGTGTCGGAAAGATCGGGCCCGCGACCCATCGCAGTACGACCTCTTCGATGGCGTCCGCGCGCGCGCCCTGCACGGCTTCGTGTACCATGAGCTCGACACCGGACTGCCGCTCCCACCCCTTGCAGCACTGACGGCTGATGAGCGACGTATGTGCTCCATCGTCAAGATGGCCGACGCCGCGTACAGCCCAGCGTACTCGAGCGTCGGGTACGAGCATTTCCACGGAGGAGCCTTCTTCGAGCCTGCCGACTTCCACGGGCTGTGCACGCTGCTCGTACGGGACGCAGCGGAGACGCCGCCGGATGATATGCGCGTTCATAACGCTCTACAATATCTCGCTGCCGAGCGTGGCAACGAGCTTCTGCGATCCACCCTCTCTTGCTATGAACGGAGGCGCGCCAATGCTCCGAACGACATGTTTCCGGCCGCAGCAGGCTTCGGTGGACAGCCAATCATGCGATGGACCGATGTCCCGACGCCGCGGCGAGCCTGCGCTCGGTCGCAATCTCTTCCGCCGCCGCGAGCTGCAGCGCGACTGACGTGCGCTGGGCCTGCAGCGACAGCCACGACCGCGTCGACCAGCTCGCCTCGTCCTCGTGCTGCCGCTTCGAGAGCTTGTTGCGCACCTTGTCCTTCATTCATTCATCTGGTAGAACAGCCGCTTGACCGCGTTGCACCACCCGCCGAAGGTTTCGAACAGGTACATCTGCACGTCGGTGTCAGAGCGCGAGAGGGCGTGCGCGTAGTCCGCCTTCTTGTACGCCACGTAGCCGCCGCCGTCGCTCGGCCTGAAGTCGCCGTCCCCGACAGCGCCGCGCTGCTCGAGGCCGAAGACGTCCGCGCTCGTGCCGGGCTCGGTGTTGCCGAGGCCGACGAAAGCGCCTCGCTGGCCGACGTCCTCCGGGTTGGAGGAGAGCGGGTCCTTGAACTTGACGTCGCCGACGAGGCGTGAGCGCGAGCGGCCGGCGCCCGCCACCGAGACGTCGGGCCGGTAGTCGTTAGAGTAGCCGAGGTGGTCCCGCGGCTCCACCTCGACGAGCATGCCCCACACGCTCCGCATGACCTTGGCCAGGGCGGCGAGGAGGCTGTTATGGCGGCCGCAGTGCCCGAGGCGGCCGATGTTGCTGGCCGCGTCGCCCAGTGGGTCCTTGCCGCCGCGCGCCGAGCAGGTCAGCGCGCCCCGCGCGAGCGCCTCGTCGAGTGGTAGCCCGAGGCGCCGCTGGACGGCGATGCGCAGCGCCCACGTCGGGATACGAAAGTCGCGGCGCGAGGGGACGGCGTTGAGGAAGGCGCCCGCCTGGTACTGGCTGACGGCGATGAAGCGCACCGCCTCCCGCCTAGCCACGCCCGGTAGCTGCAGCGCATTCCAAAAGCCGAGCCATGCTGCATGATGAATGATCTGGGAGTATACTAATTATTACGGCGAGGACGCACCGCGAAGTACGCGTACAAACAACGAACGCCGCTACTACACCTGCTGATTCATACAAGTGTACAACTAGTAAGGATACTACAGGGGCGAGACACCCTAGGTGGAGTGACTAGGGTGGAATCCGGCGTTGATTTCTAGGGTTGCGACAGCGACTCTAGAAATTAACGGCGGATTTCAGCCTATCACTCCACCGAGGGTGTTAGGGTGTCACCGTGTGGTCAACAGACCACCGGGAAAAAGAATTTTAAGTCGCCCTCTCACAACACTAGGCACGGGCGGGACTGGCGCGCACTGGCCACTATAAGAAATGTACACCGTCGTGGGTACGTCGGCAAGCAATCACCACCTCGTTACCCTCACGAGTTACGTGTAAGCAAAAAGAGAGCTAGAATGGGGCCGGCCAGCTCTCCCTTACATTCGACCCTTACATAGAGAGCTCCCGTACGAATCTCATGTAGACATTGGCCGATGAAAGCTACACAGCCCGCTCGAGCCCGCTCACAGCCCGCCACACTTACGCGTGGCTGCAAGCCCCGCAGAGGTGCGGGCGAGAGGGCGGCCCGAGCCCGAAAGGGCCCGCCCTCGGTCTTGCTCTACATGGTAACGGATAAGAAGAGAAACACCACGAGATATGGACCGCACCTTCCTCAGCATCGTGCACGCGCCCGTCAATGGCAAGTTCACCGACCGCGTGGCGCGCGTCACCGGACCCGCGGACTTTTGGGTCAAGTCGGTCACCTTTTCCCTCAACCTGATTGTGCTCACAAAGAAGAGCGATCGCGACTGCGTGCAGGTGGGCCCCTACATCTGGCCAGAAAAGCTGTCGCGGACCTGCCCCGCGTCGCGGCAGAGAGGGCCGCCAGACCCGGCGGATGATCCGTTCTGGCGATGGTGCCAGCGCCACGGTGGGGAGGGCGCTGGGAGGCCGTCCGGCGCGTCGACGGGGACCGAGCACATCTTCCGCGCCGAGATCCAGGAGCTGAGGAGACGCAACGGCGCGCTGCAGGCGGAGCTGACAGCCGCGAGGGGGGCGAGGGGGCGAGGGCGGGCGAGTGGTCCAGCGGAGGGCAGGTAGCACTGGAAAAGAAAGAAAGGGCCCAAAATGAGAGGGGTGGAGGTTCACTACAGACCGCCACCACACAGAAAACAGTGCTCAAACGACAAATACGAAATATACGGTAACCCACACAAGGGAGGGGGATGGGACCGCCACCACACAACGGCCAAAATCTCACTTTTGTCTTTAACTTTCATGAGCAACAAACTTCTGCACGCTCAGCCCCTGGACGAGGACCACACAAGAACTGGTGCATGGCCTACACTGACGATGCAGCGAACAAGCGTGCAGCGACTGGTCCGTCGTCGTTCTCCACACGCTGACCGCAAGACCGCTGTGGCCTGCTGTGGCGTGGCAACGGTGAACGAGCAAGCATGCGGGGAGAAACGGCATTGTGCATGTG